CCCCCCCCCCCCCTCCCTCCCCTCACTTCGTGAACTCGGTGAAGGCCACCCTGACCCTCGAAATCATTGGTTCGAGTCCGTGTGGATGTGTCTTTTTTTTCCAAGACATTGTTTTTTTCGGAGGCTGTGGAGGTCAGGATATGGAGATTCAGGGAGTACAGATACACGTACATAAAGAGTAGGATCTGAGGGAATATGTGATTATAGATTCCTATTCCCCGAGGGTCCCCAACTCTTATGACCCTCAACGGCTGCGAAGAGTTGATGGATCTTTAGGAGAATGGGACATGGGTCCACGAAGGCTCGCCCCTTCTCCACGCCACCCTCACTCTTGACTGAGTTCGCTCGGTCATGCTTGGCATTCCTCGCCACTTTGCACCAAAGGAAATAGCCAACCTCCGGCGGCAGGACATAGCCACCACAACCCCGGACTCTCTGCTCACCCAGACTAGAGGGGATCCATAAGTCCATCACATTGATGGGCGCCCCCCACACCTCAATCAATATATTGTAATACTGGTGTGTAGTAAACGGGCCAATGAGTGGTAGCAACGCACGAGCCTACTGCAGGTACGTTTTTCAACAAAAAACTATTCTACCTCCCGATCTAGTACAGACAGCACTTCAGACAGCAGTACGCTGTTGTCGACATTCATTTTGGTTAAGTGCGGGACAAGGGGGATGATGCTGCTGCTGTGGACTAGTCGAATTGTAGTGTGTGGGCGTGTAGTTCAGTGTGAGCACGCAAACGTGCTGCAGGGATTGTAGGTGTACCTCCTCGGGCTNTACCTCCCGATCTAGTACAGACAGCACTTCAGACAGCAGTACGCTGTTGTCGACATTCATTTTGGTTAAGTGCGGGACAAGGGGGATGATGCTGCTGCTGTGGACTAGTCGAATTGTAGTGTGTGGGCGTGTAGTTCAGTGTGAGCACGCAAACGTGCTGCAGGGATTGTAGGTGTACCTCCTCGGGCTTGTGTACCCTTTTCTTGCAAATGGTGTGCGTGTTCTTCAGAGCTTCTGATGGCTCTAGCATTTTTGTGACCACGGACCGAGTCTTGGCTAGATTTTGGTATTAGCAACTAAGAAGAGTATAATGCAATTGGTATAATGTGAAGAAAACTACAACAACAACAACAACAACAACATCCGAACAACTCTCACCGCATAATTGGAACGGCTGGGCGCATCTTCATGATCCTCTACAGGCATTCTTCTTGCATCCCGCTGAAGGTTCGCTGTCATCGGCGACTTGGGTGGGTTCGCAACAGAGAGAACGCCCGGTGTGTGGCACTACAGCTGTATACTGCTGTGTACACAAAGCCGAGGGTAGGGGGAACAGAACTATGTTGGGGCTAGAAGGAACAACACGATCGATCGGGGTTTTCGATAGGTTGAGGTTGGGAAATTTGATTGCCCGCGTTCTTCTTTCCTTTTCGAAGAACAGCTCTGCGCGCCTGACTCTAGCAGATCTGAGTGGGCTACTCTGATGATGTACAGCAAGGAGCGAACGGACACCCTTACCTGACGGCTCACACATCCACAACCTCACTCACCACAGCTCTCTGCAGCAATAGCACAACACGAAGCTACCAAGCAATGAAGGCGCCGACTCTTCTTCTGTGCGTGTTACCTGCAGCCTCTGGATTTATTCCATCTGTCGTTGTGTCGCGAACAAGCCTGCCCGACCGGCGACAACGAACAACAATCGCGCAAATCGCCACCGTCGCCATCGACACACCGCGCACGCTGCCCAAAGGCAAGCGGATTGTTCGGAGGAAGAAGCGACAACCCAGCCAACCCAAGCACGTGGACACTGCGAATGCACCTGTTACGGTAAGGGATGGGCAGCATCGGAGGGGGAGAGAGAGCGAGAGAGAGAGAGAGAGAGCGAGAGGGAGGGAGTAGGGCTGATGCGGAGGGCGGCAGTAGTGGTTCCGGCTGGGTGTAATACTGCTGTAGGAGCGGTGATACGATACTCACAGGAGTAAGCGCGCTCGAATTGTGGGCCGCGCGGCCTTCCCTTTCTCACGCGCGATTGCACGCCGGCTCTAGAGTGGTGAACGTGTCGCCTTGGCATTTCTACAGCTGTACCTGACTCGTGGCGAAGCCGTTGGCTGAGACAGCACGATAACTCAATGTAGTACACGTTCTCTTCGGCCCAACTCCGTTTTGAATTTCTCCCAAGTACGTGTGTTCCTGTCAGCGGACGAAGACGACGCAGATTCCCAAGTGCATGGTGTTCTGACACAGGCGGCTTTGATTGACATCCGCCGATACCTGCCCTGCCTTGTCGAACGTGTCTGTTTTGCCTACTCTGTTCATGACTTACGTATGCAACACCAGCAGCGGTACGGCGGTACACAACTCACGCTTTTCGTTTGTCTCTTGATTCCCCCTCACGTTCCCGGTTTTTTCGCGCACATGCACGCGGATAGCTCATCAAATCGAAAGCGGAATACGATGAGATTTTGAGACACAACATCAATAGCCTCGTGGTGATCAAGTTCTTCGCCCCTTGGTGCCGAAGCTGTAAGGCGCTGGACGTGAAGTACCGGCGTATGGCAGTCGAGAACGACGATGTAAAGTTTGTGGAGGTGAGAGTCGGAATCGGTGGTGTTGTTAAGTCATATATTTCCTTGCGCGTGTGTAGGACGCATGCCTTGTCGTATGTAAGCATGTATTTAAGTCGTCGCACCAGTTGACTCAACCGCTATCGACTTGGTTTCTGCTTCTCAGCTTGTTTTGTTCACGACGTGCAAAAAAAACTGCATTCTGTTCAAGCACCCCCAGGTGCCGTACTGCCGTACACGTGCACTCGTTACTCCTTACTATCCAACAACCAAAATGCGGCGTAATGGTTGAACTCGAATCCGAACTTTTTCGACGAAACGTTCCGAAGATACTCCACGCGAGGTGTTCGCTATTAAACCTTTGTACCGGGCACTTTGTTCGTGTATTAGTTATACGAAGCTGGTGCTTTTTTATTTATTTTCTTCTCCTGTGGCTGATGCGCCCGAAGTAAACCAAAACGTAGATGTACACATCTGTATGCTATACTCCTTTATATATGTCCTTTGTATTGCCTTCGGCCTCTGTGCTGTGTTTCCTTTTTTCATGTCCTCCCTGCCCACTCTGCTGTGTTGGGTACCTTGATCTCGCTTTTGCTGTTGCTTTGTTTTTTGTTTTTTGTTTTTGTGCATCTGGCTGTCTGCCCATCTGCCGCCTCTTTGTCCTGCTTGCCCCGTTTCTCCCATGCCCTGGTGCATAGTGCCTGGTACGTTACCCTTTGATTTTTCGTTTAGGCGGGTGTGGGAAGCGTCCTCCTTTATTTTTGTTTTTGTTTTATTTTGATCGGTTTCCGAGGGCTCTTTTCTCGAACGGTCGGTGCGGTACCCTCTCTTTTCTTTCTATCATTTTGTGTTCTTTTCCCGAGTGGTTTGTCCCCTATATTTTGTGTCGTTTCCCCGCGGCGTCGTGTGTGCCGGGTTTTGAGACCACGGGCTCCCCATTGTTTGTGGACTATTGAGCTAATGTGAGAAACAACAACAACAACAACAACATCGACGTCCAGGTAAATAGTCTGACTCTGATCGAACAGAAAAACTCCTTTGCAATGCATATCTTCGTTCCTGCAGGTTCATTCAACGCGACGCATGTAAAAAGCTCGCAGTCTCTCGAAGAATCTCAAATGCTCTCGAACGAGATGCAGGCAATTCAACTCCCGACCGAGTCACCAGACGATTTCTAACTTTCCAACGCGACCCACGCTATCGACATACTGCTTGCTGTACCCGCTCAGCGTTTGTTAAGGCTACGCCAGGCTCCTCACAAAAAATGAGCGTTGGAAAGAGGGGATGGCGTTTCGCAGAACCAAACGAAACAAGTGGAATTCAGAGGAAGTGATTTGCAAAAAAGTATCTTTGTACGGGGGGAACGGAAACAAGACCGCGAAACCATCTTTTGAATGACGCTTTGCGACGTAAATCGAAAAGTTGCATATGCCAAATCCAATGCCTCCACACGTTTTTGCAGCTTGAGAACACCCTGTGCACGAGGTACATTTGCGTTCAATCCGCGTTTGTTGATCGAGCTTACACACGTGGAGAACGGCGGGGGCGCGTCAAAGGACCCAGAAGATCCGACGTTTTGGCCAAATTTCGGGCTGCTGCGTGCATGTACATACAGTTCACGAGGATACCTCGAGAATCGTTTCTGGTTGTCTGCTGCTGCTGTCAAGTCATGCGACGCTACTCGCACACCATACCGGTAGGCTCCGGCAGTTTCGAGCAGTGTGGTTGCTTGTGGCGTGCTGCAGCTGTCGGCAACAGAACTCTTTGCTGCGCTGGTTCACCAAAAATCTCGGCGAGAGAATTGCGCTCAATTTGTAAAACTGCCATCGATCTCGCGCTAGAAAGCCTGACCTGATAAACGGCACATTTTTGGTCGATGGGGTTGATCAAGCTGGTATGATTTCTCCAAAAAGATGTAAAGGTCTTGGGTCTCCCGGGGCAAAGCGCCGGAGGGGACAAGTGAGATTTTACAGCAGTCGGCGGAGGCACCGCCCGAGATTGTTATCAAGCAGTTTGACTTGTGAGAAAAAAATATATTTGGTTCGGAAAAATCACCATCGCGGAGCCCAGGAGACACTGGGGACGGCGAGGAGCCTGGCGTAACCTTAAGAGAAGCACTCATCGCGAGTACGTACCTAATTCACTTATCGTCTGAGTCGCTACTGTTGTGTTGTGGAGACAGGCAGGCGTCTCCTGAGAATAACTTTGAGCCGATATCGAATGCCTGTGCTTGGGAGAGAAATGCCTTCGAGAGATTCCGGCTTCATCAGAACAGCTGAGGAGAGCTTTACGTGTGCGCAGAAAATGGAAGAGGACGAGCAGATGTAGAAGACACCTCAATTCTATCTCCGAACCGGGATGACAACAGAGATGCTTTTTTTATTCCAATTGGAACAGTTCGCAAACGAAGGAGGTGTGCAAGCAGCAACAGCATGGCTGGCTATGTGTTTCTCTTGACCTGATTTGCCATGACCTTTGTCCTTCCATCTTGTCATCGCAGATCGACGTACATCAGTCTCCGGACTTGAAGAAGGTATTAGGCGTTCGGGCAGTGCCGACGGTCAAGCTGCACGCCGGACCCCTCGGCCAAGTAGCGAGTTTTACATGCGGACCCCGCAAAGCACCAGAGCTAGCCCGCAAGATACAGCTTTGCAAAGATGTTCCAGCCTTAACAGCACGGCTAGGAAAGGGATCTGGCATGATCGAGATGCTGGCGGACGAATTAAACAGCGACAAGCCGGTGAGACTTCGCTTCTTCAGCCCGCACAGTTTGCGGCTACCAGCCTTTTTCAAAAATTCGCGACTCGGGTACGCGTTCTCTAGAGCTAGAAACTTGCACGTGCTCCAATGCCGTCTTCAACGTTTACACATCACACAATCCACCCATCTACCCCCCCTTCCAGGTGGCTGCATCTTCGTTGCCGCAACCTGGCCGAGAGGTTAGGTCGGCCGAATCCGTCATCGCTAAGGGACTCATGGAGAAGGTGGCACATCAAGAAATGGCTGAGTCGAGTCAGCGAACGCTCGACGAAGTCCCGACGGAGGATAGACTGTAACTCTTGACTTTTTTTGCCAACTGGTGTTCTGTACATTCTGGTGTCGTCGTGTGGTTTTGTCTTTGAGGTTAAAATGAATGTGTAAAGTGGTGACGTTTGGGGAAATGTCTAGGCGGAATTTTTCCTGTATTGAGTGAATGAGTGTGGAGCCAGACAGCGCGGCATCTTCTTGCCCTCACCAAGGCGTTCCCCGTAAAAAACCTTTGCTCAAGGATTTGGCGGAGGTAACGATTTTCTTATTTGTGCTTTATGCTACTTTCGAACGTGGCTGACGGTGGGAATCGGAGCGTGTGAGTGAGCGCTCCCTGTTCAAACAAGTTTATTCTTTCTTCCTTTCTCCATACGCCAGAGCCGAGCACATCATGCGCGCGGCAAACTCGTCAAGCTTCGATATAGCGCTCTGGACACGGGCACACATTGAATCAACTCACGAATACGTTAGCACATGCTCTTGGTCAAGTGAAGGAAGAGGCTCCCCGTCAAGGGTTCGTTGGAGTTTCTGACAAACGTTGTCAGACTGGGATGTGGTCTGTCCTGTTATTTTCTCGAATTGGATGTCAAGGTTGGGTAATGTGAAAGCGCTCTGCCCCGCCGCATGAGGCACAACGATTTTACCATATCGTCACAAGAGCAGTGGGAGAGTTTCCATAATGCACCCCATTTCGTTGACGATGGCCTGGAATAGATCCTCACTCCTCGCTCGTTGGTACGCTGCAACAGGGCCGGCTGCCCGTCCCAGCCAGACGTTAAGGAAACTGGCTACTACAAATTTCGCATTTGCAACTGCTGTTCATTGGGTGCAAATGAGAACCTGTCAGTAGAACACAACTCCTATTCCAAAGAAGACCAGTTCCCTGATACAAGTTATTCCAGCGACACACGGCAGCAGCACGTGTGCCCCAGGCCAATCGAACATATTGCTTTCGCGTGAGATATGGATCATCGAAGCTAAATGTCGACAAGAACCCTCGCGTCCCTCAAACAAACACAACTGACATGTTCGCTAACTCAAATCGAACGAAAGACTAGGTTGACTGCTTCCATTTCTTAGTCGGGACTTCGCCATCTGACGGAGGACCAGTTTCCAGGGAGTTCGTGCCGAGGTATAAGCGGTCTCCAGCGTCGCCGATCCCAGGGATGAGATCTTGACCGTTCTGTAGGGGCGATCCAGATATACATGGGACCGCGTTGTGTGCGGTCAAGGAACGAAAGACTTGGAAGCAAAGTCGTCTGTACCGTCCATGCAAATACACTCAAGAGTTGTGAGAAACACAGCCGTAGTGTAGCATCATGCTATTAATTACTAAGCGTTGTCCGACAAGGTTCCGTTCCGGTAAAGTTGAAAACTCTCACATTGCGAGAATCGTAGGTCAGAAATGCAAGGGAGGGCAAGTTTGTCAAAGCATCACGCCGCTAGGAAGTCTAAGTTCGTTTGTGGTGTGTGGGACCGTCACTTCGCGCCGAAGAAGCAAGTGCGCAAGACAGGGTGTGGGGCCTTTGTTCTCTTACCGGTGCGAGCTCGTCGATGGAGGCGAGGTGAACCTGTACCTCCGGGTGCATTTTGTTCAGAGCCTCCAACCCGCTCCGTGATGCAACCAAGGTCACCACCTAGTGCACGGCAAATGAAGGAATCGGGGAGGTATTGAATAGGAGAGCGTATTCAAGCTGGCATTGAACCGGCCAAGGGTCCCCTCCACCAGACTCACGACACAGCAGCAGTGGCAGTGGTAAGTTACAACCCCGGGGGTGTTTACGTAGGATCACGTCGACCAACCGCATCACTGATGGCAAAGAGTACCTATTGGCGATGGCACCTACCTTGATCGTCTTGGCTCCCCACTTCTTTACAATGGACACCACGGCATTAATGGTGCGAGCTGCACGTTCGTGGGAGGTAGTGGGACGAAATAAGGAGCAAGGAGAGATCAAAACGACAAGCAGAAACAGGAAAGCTCTCAAACGATTTCATCATGCGAACGCTGCGGGCTGCTCACAAGCACTTGTTTTTAAGACACTCGGCTACACACTGGTTTGTCTTCCATGTTCAAAAGAAAAATTCTTGGCATTAACGGGCAACTCACATGAGGCGATGATGGGATCCAAAATCAGGGCGACGTCAGAGGGATGTCCTTTCGGTAGCCTATTGTAGTATTGTACAGGAATGTTGCTCCCCGGGTTGCGGTACATGCCGACATGGTAGACGGGGGAATCTGGCAAAAGCTCCAAAAGCGCTTCTGTCATCCCCAGTCCTCCCCTGAAAAAATTGCGGGGCAGACCAAAGCAGGAGGGAAATCCAAACCCAATCTACTCGACGGCGTACCAGGCGCATTGTAGGAGAACGCCCCACCCACATGGTGTTGACGCACGCCTTCGACAACACTATGCATACGAAGGACATAACCTTGCAGAGGTGGTAACTGCACAAAGAGCAAAGAGCAACGCTCGCGCGAAGCGCCAATACACATCAAACCTCACAATGGTACTTACGAGCCTGATATAAAAGTCAGTGCGCTCAGAGTGTTGTTTCATAATGCAAGAGGACAAGCAAGCATGGAGGAATCGTTGAGCAAGTGAATGGTGACGGATCTTGCCTTAGGATGGGCACCACGGCGACAGTCTCGGCGATCGTTTTCGCGGGGCACTGGTCCGTGTGGTCTGTTTTCACGCAAATCGACGTCGTCGTCAGGGTCGCAGTGGCTTCGTAGCTGCACATGGACGACAAAAAAGGGGAGATATCATGATCATCAATACGCTCGGATGATGTTTGTAACACGACTTGAGTAGTCAGCGCGCCCAAAACCGATCCCCTTGTACTGTGACGCCTTCGATGTGTGGGTGTGGTATCCAGGTGTATTGCAAAATACGCATTTGGGCGGGGAATCATAGAGTGAATGGATGCAATCACCGTACGTGACACATGATACCACCCGAAAAACTGCACTCACAGGACTACACCCCACAGTGTGTGTGATAAACATGGGGTGCAATAATGGCACCAGTGGGATGAAGTGTGCCCACACGACCCAACCTACAGGGGGGTGCTACGAGGTTGTGTAGAAATCACGGGGTGTGATAAGTGCTTACAGATGGCGCCCGCACTAAAGAACCTCTGGTTTCGGCCGAGGCTGGGGTTCTTATTTTGCTGATCATCCTCTTGTGGGCTACAAATGGCCGCCGTAGAGGTTATATTGTGGGGTTCTAAACCGAGCTCACAAATGGTGCTCAAGTTCTTAGCTTCTGACTTCTTGCGAACCTCAATTTCTAAACTGCTAAGTTCTTAAGTGCGGGCGCTATCTGTATTCCAGGGTTAAAAAAACACTTTAAAAAAAAGCACACACACGGGTGTGGTTTTCTATACATTTTCGGTAGGGGTGTGGTATCTTGCGTCACCTATGGTATACGTACTGAGCGAGAACGCAGCCGTGAGAGCACTCGAAAATGTAAAAAAAACACGGAAACCAAGCCCTGCTCACCCTAAGTAAAAGGTAATCTCACGAAACAGCGTCCTGAAGTCCTTGGCGGTTCCTTCTTGGCGCCGAATCAGAGCCAATTTGTGTTGGAGAACCTTCGACACCGACAAACAAATGAATATATCCCAAGTGAACATCCCAGGGGTGAGACGTTTGGTGCTTGCATTTGGCCATAGTGGCCACGCACTTGGAGACCGAGCAAGGAGCAGAGGCCGCCACCCTAGCGCCCGTCCTGGAATGGCTGTGGTAGTCGAACACATGCGGTTTAACACACGCATACAATCGCTATCCTATCCCGCGAGGGGGGCACAGGGTTGAGTGTTCTGGCACGTCTGCTCATGTACCTCAATCAAGTCACCCAATCTCCCAGTCTCCCAACCCCCTGGGAAAACTAGGTAACGTACTGTGCACCGCATTTCGGGACACGGAGTATATGTGCCACAGGATATCACTGCTGTGGGTGTTACTTCCTCGGTGCGCAACACTGTAGAACGCGACCCGGGAGTAACGAAGTGCTGGATCAAGAAAGCAAGATTACATGTGCTCACAGGTACGGGTCCGACAGCAGTAGTCTGCACACAGCGTCATAACGTAGTACAACTGACTTACTTGTGTAGTCGCTGGTGGGTTAAATTGTTAAATTTACCCTCGGACGAAACAAGAGGACATTAGGCTGATGGCGCCTTCTGTACCGATTCTTATATGTGTCAGATCACAATCTCTTCATTTTGACTGATACCAAACTCAGTATCTTTTGCCAAGATTTCCATTTCACGAACAGCAGTTGACACAATAGATCGCGGCCCACGGCATGTCGTGCATATACATGGCTGTAGCAAGCTACGTGATAAACACGATCGGTGCTGCCAGAAGTTTTGACCCAGCGCGCTGCAAGATCCTTGCCAGCCGAATCAAACTTGCTTACATCCGTTAACTTGGACAACTGTTGTATATGAACGACACAGATGACACCACAACAGTAGTAATATCGATGCGCATCATGATAGCCTGTCGGGTCGAGTGGTTTCACGTTGCACCAAGCAGGGGTGCGCAGAAACGACGGCCTGCAGAACAAAAAAGAGACAGGACTGCAAGAGTCCAAACCTACCGGATGCTGAGAGACCAGCGCTTGAGGACAATCAGATTCGCCCATTGCTTTTTCCTCTAGATCCAAGATATACGGCTGGTGTGCGACGTACCGCGTAGTTGTGTGGGGTCCTTGTGGCTGCGGAGCAGGCAAGCAGCCAAGTGGTTACACCGCAAGGGGGGGGTGACGCACCGAGAAACTAACAGAGGGAGCAGCTCCGCCCTTGTGTTCAACTCTAAATATCAGTACCAGTAGTAGGGAGGGCAGTCATGCACACACATTCCTTGCCCTCTCTAGCGTGATGGCTTCACCCACACGAGGGCCGGCTCTTGCGAGGGGGCGGCGGAGAGCCATAACGTGGTGGCGTCTGCATAGAGTAGTTGCCAGTCTCTCGGTTCTGGCGATTACCTTTACCTCAGCCAGAGGAAATGAAAATGAGGCAAGTGCAACAAGCCATCTCGAGAACGGACGCGAGGGCAACAACAGCAACAACAACAAGCCTTTCTTCATCCAGGATCCCACCGATGGGCTGTGCCTGAGCGGGGGGACGTTCAAGAGATGTGCTGTAGATACGCTGTGGAAGGTGGAGGGAGAAGCTGGCAGGCATTCAATTCGACGAGTGGCTGTTCTGGAAGACGGTAAGAGAGTTGACGGGGCGTCTTGATATCGGTCTCGACCTTCCTCTCCAATGCAGGCAGGACCCACGCAGGTGTTGTACGTAGATACATACGCTCGGTGCCACCGCTCATTCCAGTACGTGTCACAGTATAACACGTCAATGGTGATTGGCGCACACAGGCACATGGTAGAATCTCAAGTTCGAAATTTACTATTACTTCGAAGCACCTGTTCCTCGTAAGGTGTTTACGCGTGGCAACGTGTGGTCTGTTCATGTGTTGAGCGTGTGTGGAAAGTGGCACTCCGTCACTAATACCACCACTCTCAGATACCATATGGGATGTGCTCTTGGGCAGGCAGACATTGTGAGCGGGGAGAAGCAGATGGCAGTGAGTGCTCGAAAACAGCGGCCGGGTGAAACTTTGCGTTTGCTCGGTTATATATCCTGCCAATTACAAACAAACAAGCGCTGCTGAGCTCCATATATAGCTCGCAGCTAGGTGAGAGTAGCCCCTTTTCGTGTGGTAATGTTGTTGGTCCATCGCCTCAGGGTCTTCAACAAAAGGAATATACATAGCATACAGCAGCATTTGAATCGATTGTCCACATGCCCCATCCCTATGGTTGAAATTCTGTTACGAGTTGTGGGCCTGATCGATTGTGGTCCGTTGGGTTCTGTTCAATCCGAAAGCCCGGGACGGCCGGGGTCACTACACCGAACCTGTCCTCTGGGCTTCAAATCTCGTGAAGCCCAGTCCGAAGTCTTCGATGTAATGGAAAGTTTCTCCCCAACAACGAACATGAGAAAAGCAGCACGGGTGCTGAACGCCGTGGGGGGTGAGCGGAGAACCTAGTGTAGTCAAAAAGCAAGAGTGATGGTGACTACCGAAGGATCTATCGTCGAAGTGATCCACCTGTATCTATCTTATCAAGGGTTCGAACTCAACATTGAAGGAGATCTGCAGACGCTCAAATGGGATGCTTTATGGTGACTATTAGTGGAGCTACAGGTTAACGGTATTTACGTTTTTGTAGCGTAGTTGACAATAACCAGGAGGGTACCAGTGGCGAAAAGGGTAGTTTTGGAAACATCTCGTCGAGGGCTTTCCTGAGAGGTATCGGTTGGTTTTCGCACCCTCCTACTTTAGGAGACATAGGCTATAAACGAAAACGCTAACACGGGGGCGCCGTATCTCAGACTCTTACGGTGCCTAACGTATTTTCAACCGGGGTCACACTAGAGAAAAGTCACACGGGAGTTTTTTTTCATTTTTTGTGTTGTTTTTTTGCGGTGCTTGCTTACCTTATTTTTGTCGCGAGAAGGGTTCAGCCATCCCCTTCTCTCGTCGAACCGAAGTTTGTTTACTTACGACCTTCAGGTTGTGGAAATGCATCCCGGGAAAGAAAACATCTGGAGAGAGAATCGAACCCGCAAACTGCGGCAACGGCGCCGTGCAGAGTGACTTACTATTTAGACCACCAACCTAGACATGCGTAGCTCACGCTCTTGGTAGACCGCTTTTCCGAGTGTTGTGGCGTTATATAAACGTTCTCTGCGTAGCACCACCAGGCACAAAAATGTCATGTCTGCACCAATGTATCGATCAACTGGTACTTGATCGTATGACGTTTTACCCCGCCGCAGGTGAAGAGGAGGCGAAACAGTTGTGCTTGGACCGCAAGAGCTGCGACTCTGCGACGTCGGTATTACGCACAGCCAGTTGCGATCACTGCGGGGCAAAAGGATGGGACATTGTAGGGTGAGTCCACCTTCAACACCACACCGCGTCGTTGTTTTTGGGGGTTGTGCGTAAATGCTTTTGGTTGCTATCATCCGAGCTTTCCTTATTTTCGAAGCTACAGTCCAGAAGGTTAGTCCGCTGCACTGCTTTCGATTGACCCACCCCCTCGTTGTTTTTGGTCGTGCAATGCGCTTCTCTACCCGTGGGGTCACGCATGGGGGTCAAGGGCTCAAGCTAAGCTTGACAGATCTGTCTGTAACATGTTGGTCAGTACACATCGAGTCCCGTGTTGGAGGCAGCTCTCTCCATATTCTACAGTATCCCGAAAATCCCTCCGTTTATTTCCCTACGCATGTTTTGGTTTCCGTATGTGTAGGGACGTGGACAGCAGCTACACTCTATCGGTGGGGCGCGTGCAGCCTGTCGTGGCAGCCGCGGCAGCGGCGGCATCCGATGGCATGGCCTTGTCCACCGTATTCGAACAGGCAGCTGCGGGGGTAGGTGTTGGGGGGGGGGTTGCTGCCGTTGCACAGATGTGCATTGTCAGAGATGGAGAAACGGCGAGGATGGGGGGGTGCGAAGAGCAGACGCGATTGACGTTGCAGGTAAGAATGGAGGGGCACACCTTGATGTTTCATACACGATATGTTAAGCGCCCTGAGAGGGCGCTTCAGTTTTGCGAGTGGTAATATCGGGGTATCGCCCAACGGTGTGCCGTTACAAACCGCTGCTGCATGGCTCTATCGCCCGTTGTTAGTCCGTTCTTTATATTATTGTTCGGCAACAAGGGCGGCATGTGATGCTGCCCGTTACCTCATGAGGCGTCTTTCTTAGCCCAGAACCAAGTTCGCCTGCCATTTGCTTGCTGCAGCGCGATCGTGCGACTGCAAACCGTGTGTCGGTTCGCTGACTGTAATTTGTTCCCTATTGCGCCCATGGTCCGTTGTTCAGTTTGCGAGCGAGCACGATATGGCAGCTATGGGCGCACCGGGGGTGCGGTTGATCACAGCTGCCAGCGACGGAAACAAGAAAGGAGTCAGAAAGTGGTTGGACCAGGGCGTGGATGTGGACTCACGCGATTGGGACAACCTGACACCCCTTATCGCAGCGTCTAGCCAGGGACACCTGGTGAGGCTGATACCAGTACCGCAGGGGTGTCACTTTGTAGCCCGTGTTGACTGTTGCGCCCGGAGAGAAGCCCAGTAGGCCGTTCTTGGCTTTCTGCGGGGTGTCACTGTGATAATTGTTTGGTTGTGTTTGGTTTGTCACTACTAACGAACAATGACACTGCTGTATCTTGGTTGGGTGGTGTGACCAACCAACCGAACGAACCTTACACGAAACACAGGAGTTGACAGCGGCCTTGTCGTTGCCGTTCATGCAATTGTGTTTCGCTACCAGGATGTTGTCAAGATCTTGTTGCAACGAGGGGCAGGGGTGAACTCGAAAGACAAGGATAACATCACAGCACTCATGGAGGCATCTATCATGGATCACAGGGATGTCGTCAAGCACCTCTTGAAGGTGAGAAACAGCTACGTCCGTTGCACCCGTGCTGCTGTGAATCAGTTCAGCAAGGCGGTCTCGCTTGTTTTGGAAACGTTAACGTTCTCCGCGTCTTTTTGACCAACGATGCTTGTCGCGATACAGTACAGGTACTCTCAAGCTACATACATGTAGCCGGCCCAACTGTCGGTGCAGCATTCAGTGTTGGAGTAGACTCTACAGCCTAGTCTAGAGCTGGTAGACTTGTTGGTAGGCCGACAGTGTCAGGAAAACACCCATCTTTTGTACACCGAATGTAGACCTTTCTCCGACATCACGAGAAATGTAGCTGAGTTGTGTTCCAGAAAGTCGCTACCGCTGCATTTTTTTTTTGTTTGATGCGCTGTTCTCACACTGACTGCGACGTTGGTGTGTTGTTGTCGTGTTGCACGCAGGAGGGTGCTGAGGTGGACGCGAAAACAACAACGGGAGTGACTGCGTTGTGGCTGGCGGCTGGCGAGGGGAGGAAAGAGGTGGCGGCTAGTTTAATCGCCAAGGGTTCGGATGTGAACAATCGCAGAACAGATGGCATCACAGCGGTTATGGCTGCGGCTGTCGGGGGACACAAGGTAAGGTAGGAGTGGTACCCATCGTGTTCAGTCATGTGTTTTTTGTGCGGGCTTGCCGTCGTAGGATGCATGTGTTCGGCTTGACCACCACATGTGAGTTGATTGATTGGCCGCAAAATCCGTGAGGTTTCGGGGAAAGCCTTAATTTCAACCACAGGTAACGAAGTTTCTAAAATCATGTTTTGCTGGGCATGGTGTCCGCTTATCGCCCTTGACGGTTGGCCGATATTTCCAGGATGTAGTGAAGATGCTGGTTGATGCTGGTGCTGGAGTGTCTGACCGGGACCAGGACGGGCTCACGGCGCTCATGAACGCAGCGGAAATTGGCGCTGGGGAAATCGTGACGTACCTACTCAACAAAGGGTGAGATTTTTATCGCTCACTGCTGTTGCGACCTTAAAATGTCACCATGGATACAAAGTAGTTGCACATTGCGTGAGTTGCGGCGAACCTCCTAGTTGAGCCAGGTCACGCCTTTTGCTATCCAACCGTCTCAAGAGGTTGTTGTCAGCTATGAATACAACCTTACAGCAGTCCTGGCGTATCGAATTGGTACGGCCAACATGTACTGAAGGCATGGATGGTGTGGTGCGCACGCGCACTCCCCCCATCGGATGTCGCCCGGTGCCGTTAGTATTTTTGAGCATTTGTCTTGTCGTGTGTGAATTGGCCGGGCATGGAGTGTTGTCAGCACAGAGGTGCAGATTTGCGACAGAGACACAATGAATACTCTCAAGCTTACAGTCATACCTCTAGTCGGAGTACACCCTACGATACTGCATGGCACAATACGGCATCATGGCATTCGTTGCGATAGTTCGACGGTTAGTTTACTCTTATGTGTTGTGTGATCCTCGCCGTAACCACTCGCGGCACAATACAGGGCGGACCCCAACGTCATGTCAGAGACGGGCTTTACTTCGCTCATTCTGGCGGCAGCAGGGGGTCATCTGGAGGTGGTTAAAACTTTAGTAGAGAAGGTGAGCACGATGACCGACTTTTGTTTTGCGTCTTGCGTATTGGCTGAGGGCAGTGCCTCTCAGATGTCTGGTAGGTATGCCAAATTCGGCGTTGAAAATAAAGGGAGCCGTTGGTTGCTGCACGCCACTGGAAAATGACCGTCCTTGAGGCTGGTCTGGCTTGATTTCGTAGTAGCTTTGCCGGGTTAGTTGCGTCTCCACGCCATATCTCTGGAATAGTTTTGCTGCTTCTATTCGATTCGATGGTGCTATCTGTCGGTTCTTTGCTCACTTTGCTCCCTGCTGTTGCTGTGCCGGCCGCTTTGCCCGCAAAAGGGCGCCGAGATAAACGCCGAGCATCCGGAGGGGGTCAATGCGCTCATGTACGGAGCAGCGGGGGCACATCTCGGCGTCGTACAGGTACGAAGATCTACATGAACCGCCGCTGAGCTATTCTTCCGGGAAAAAAACGTACGTAGTAGCTTCCTTCCCTTCCTGTCTTTGCGATTCGATCGTTCCGAGTGGGCTTGTCCGTAAACGACGCCTTGTGAGGGGTGCGAACGAGTCGTACGATGTTGTGTTTTTTACCGGTTTGATTGGTGACTTCGGCGGTTGTATCCCACTTCCTTGAATTTTCACCAAGTCATGTGTCTTTTCGTATTCCCGCCGTTGGCCGGAGCATTCGATGTCGCATGTCTGCCCAGCGCGGTTTGGTCAGTCAGTGAGCACACCCTGCGATGTTTTGTTTCCTGCCTACACAGTACTTGCTAGATCCCGGTAAGGGGACGACGGGAGCGGAGGTGAACCAGCTGCACGTTCACGGAGGATCAGCCCTGATGGAGGTGGGTGTTGGTCGGTTGCGACGGTGGCCCCAAGCAAGCAACACTACATTTGCACCAATTGCAGCTGACTGAAAAAGGGAACCGGCTGCCACGTGGCGCGTAGAGGTAGTTATAAACGTGCATTCAATGTTCTTTAGGGTTTTCAGGACAAAGTGGGCAAGCATTGGTGTCCGAAGCAGTTTGGTCCTGTTGTCAATAATGGACTCATTATTCCCAAGGCTTACGAGCATCTCAGTGCAGTCCTTGCTTTCACCACCGAGTGAAAGAAGGATACCATGAGCTGCTGCAACACGCTTCAAGTCGGTTGTGGGTACTTGGGGATAACGAAACGCACCCACGGCCACAAAGCGCCCTGCCGTTTGATCTCATCACCCTCCCCTAGTGGGTTCTTTTGGGACACGCTACTCCGCGATCCGTTGTACGAAAGTCTTAAGTCCCTGAATTTGTCGCCCGTGTTGTGTCGAGCAGGCAAGCACCTCTGGAAACGTGAGTGTCATAAACCTGTTGCTCAAGAAGGGGGCGGACGTATCGGTAACAGACAAGGACGGCGTCACCACTCTCATGTCTGCGGCCAGTCACGGACATGCACAGGTGTGTGTATACGTGGCATACTATTACTAGCACATGCTTCCACGCATGATGCTCGTTTCCATGAAGGGCCTGTCAGCATCGAGCTACGCGCCTTGATGACGTCTGCACTGGTGTTGTCGGTCGTTTGCCTGTGTCGTGAACGATTGTTTTGAAACAAGTTGCGACTGCGCTTCATATCTATCCGTACTGGCGATTCGGCGCCTGTCGCAACATGAACCGTTCGGTTGGTGTTGCCAACTCTGAGCGACCACAATACAACCGGATGGTGGTTCCCTCCTCAGGCCTGCAGGGTCCTGCTGGATGCTGGAGCTCCCCTACATACGAAAGCTTCCTCGGGGGGAACGGCTCTTATGTTTGCCGCTGCAGCAGGGTACACGGATGTGGTGGCGTTGTTGCTGGAGAGGGGTGCTCATGTCAACGACACCGTCCAGGTGACTTCTCTCGTGCAAGCTTTTTTGAACGGGTGTTGCACGTCGGCGCATTTTCCCTGTCTATGCAAGCAACGTATCATTTGTAGAAAGAAAGAAAATGATACGGCGTGCTGTTGTGGCTTTGCTGCATGACGGCAGAAGTTGGTGGACATCGCGGGGTGGCTTCTCAGGGAAAACAAGGGTTTGGCAGGGAAAGCAGGGCGGCCGGACACACGGTAGGCATGCAATGTGAGCAGGTACGTATTTTCATTTCAATAAACGTGGAATCGAAGGGTTGTGATTCGCTTGCCGTTCGTGTAGCCTAGGTGGAACGGTTCTGCATAGCTATTTCCCTAGCCCGGTTGGTGTTGCGCATCGTCAGTACTGCATACAACACGTAAAATTACAATGGACCAACGCACCGGGCAGGCGTCTGAGACTTACAAGGCGAACTTGTTGAAGAGCAACACCGGCGAGGGCGATTCTCCCATGGGAGCGGAAACACACACGGATGGAGTCACATCTCTCATGGTGGCAGCCGTTGGTGGACACATGGTAATCAAATGCCTTTCAACGGTAGCGTGGTTTGTTCCGCTTGAGCCAATGATAGTGACCCACATGATTTAAGTGACTTGAGAGCCCACGTTCGGGCAATGTGTTTTCGCAACGATCTAGTCTAAGTCGCTTGTCAAGAAGTGTGTACAGCAAGGAGTTGGGTGCCACGGGCACAGATTGCGTTCTTTCGGCGACGAAGTAAAAGTAATCGAGGCGTTTCTGTCCTCGATCGTTGGGCCTATTGGTGTGGTGATTCCGTGCGAAACGTGTGAGAGTACAGGTCTCGAGAGGCTAACCTCTTCATTATCACGCAAACGCATACCACGTGCAGGATGTGATGCGCGCATTAGTTGAAGGCGGGGCTGACGTCAGAGCTGTGGACGACCAGGGATTGAGTGCACTTCTCAATGCAGTGAAGGTGGGTGCGCTTTTATCCCGTTTGAACGGGTCTGCCACGCTCAAAAGAATTGTGCATCACACGTATGCAACAACAGTTGAGCGTGCAGTCATCAAACCTATATGGACAAGTGTTCTCGGAGATGGCAACACCTGTAAGCGGGCAGGGAGCTCCGAACACACGCATACGAACGAACCATATACACCAACCAATGAGGTCTGACGAAACCCTCCACTGATAGCGGCAGAGACATCAGATGATGCATGTTGTCGAATGAACCCGTCCCCCGGCACTCGGCACGCAACCCCCTCTGGCTGCTCTGAAGCGTTCAGTTGCAAGCCTACAATACAAGCACATGTTGTTCCGTGTACGTTCTGGTTTTGACGTGTTTGCATGTCATCACGTCGCTTCCTTTGACGCGTGTCTCGTGTTTTGGGCGCACAGGGGAACTTCGGTGATGCCGCCTCCTACCTGGTGGAGAAAGGCGCGGATGCAAACGACGTTTATGTGGACGAGGGAGGGGATCGGCACTCTCTGCTGATGGACGCTATTATCGTTGAGAACGTTCCCTTCGCGGAGCTGTTGGTCAAGCACGGCGCGGACGTGAATGTGACGGACGAGCAGGGCGTGACAACCTTGATACAGGTGCCACAGTAGTAGGTACTCAAGAGAGATCGCCTGTACTATCCAATTTGCGAGCGCCAGGAGAGTTTACTTTTTGTGACTCAGAAGGCGATGTCTTCGACCGACATTTCAGCGTCCTCGCCGTCCTTTTCTGTTGCGATTCACACATGTGTGACGCGTGACGTGTTACCTCCCTGGACCAGGCGGCCCACAGAGGCATGTTGGTGATCTGCGAGCTGGTCGTGGAGAAGGGTGTTGATGTTGCTGCGAAATCTGATGATGGTATCACAGCTCTCATCGCTGCCGCTAGCGAGGGACACGCGGGCATCGTGGAGCTTTTGCTGGGGAAGGCTAAAGCAGATCCTGACGCCAAAGACAAGGTGGGCTAAGATCGCATGAACGTGGACTGGTGCCAAACTTGGACGACCAACGGATCGTCATGAAGTGACCCGTTTCAAAGGTGTACACGACAAGTTTTATTTCGCGGAAAATCGTTGCGATTCGTAACATGCTGCGCTGGATAGAGCTCACAACTCTGTTTAGTGTAAACGTACATCCGGTGGGGATGAATATCCACCGTTCTTCCCGGCGCGTACAGGAGTGCTACAATATACTGCTGTCGTCATTTTGGGTTATAATAAAATTAACGTCGTAGTTTTTCGATCACACATCGTGCAATACTCATCCCTAGTCACAAGAGGGTATGCAGCAAACGCCTATTGAACACTTGGGGCACCGTTGTAGTTGTCGAGTAGATGATGACCGGATTCTCCATGTGAGCGTCTTTTGAAGCTCACGTCCAGCCGTGAAACTTGCTTTTCTTTGTAATACGTAGGACGGCACAACGGCCCTGATGGCAGCATCCGTGCGAGGGCACAAGGATGTGGTCGATGCCTTGCTGCGACATGGCGCGAACGTCGACCAGCAAAATCTGGATGGTCACACGGCCCTGATGTTTGCTTACAACGGAAGAAACCAGGTGACGAAAAACCTCATCCAGAGAGAGCATCCTCCCTGGTGAAGAAGCCATCGACAGCTGCTTTCTTACAGAAGTACTTTTCCGTCGTTCGTTGCGTGGTAGAGTTGGCTCTCAGCATGTTGCTTCTACCACAGATCATGCATTGCACGTGGGTGCTACAGTATGTCCGCAGCAGCGCCGTGAAGTTTTGTCACGTATCTCGTACCCGGCCCGTCTCGTGCATTGGGTGTTCGCAGGTGGCAGCATTGCTGTCTCGATACTTAGAGTACGTGGGAGGCAAAGAGGATGACGGGAACGCTAAGATTATCCAGGATTCGCTTCAGGTCAGCAGCACTCGGGTCGTAACCGTTTTGCCATGTGCTTTGTTCTTGAGTGGGTGGGAACCGCTGCCACGGAGCCGATTTTAGACCGTTGAACACCTTCCATCGTGTCGTCGACAGGTTGCACGAAACGAGGCCGCTCGTTCAACCACTTTTTTCTGCGGCAGCATGTCACGCCATTATTCAAAACGCGTCTGGAGTTGGGTCCGCCGTAGATTTGAGGCTTGTATACGTCTTCTCGCTAATGATGATCGTTGGGTCCTCTGGCTAGCAACGCATCCCATTAGGCCCCATCTGAGATGGCTGACCTCCGCCTCCTCTGATTGCTACTCAACCACCATCATCCATTATCATCCATCGCTGTCGCAGGTGCACACGAACATTATCGCTGCTCTCCAGGCCGCGGGTGCAGATCCGGGACTTCTCGACACCAACGGCAACTCAGCCCAAGACTTTGAGTCTCAACACCCTGCAGGGCACGAAACAGAAGGAGGAGCGAGTGGAGCAGGGCGATTGGAGCCCCCAAGAGCTAGGCCAGCGGTACCACCAACGGGGGACAGGAATGAGCTATAGAGCTTGGGGTCAACGGACAATCGAATGAGCTGCTTAGAGCTAGCTTCAGGGTTGGGTTCCGGGGTAGACGTGGTTCGTAGTGGGATAAGATTTTGGAGCGTGGTGTTAGTTAGGGGGGGAGGGGGAGGGGGAGGGGGATGGGTGTATCACGAGAGCGCTCGGAGGTGTGTGTGTCATTTGTTGTATTTGGCGTAGTTTGTCTTTTTATCGAAATGTTGACTGATGTCACGCCTTCGTGAATCAGCAATGTGGCTTTTGCACACGGCTGAATACTGCGGGCGATTTGATCGGCCCGCACAATTTGACGCGGTCGCAAGCAATGGGTAAAAGTGATCGTTCTCAATAGATTGTGCTGTTATTAAAGAAAGCAATTCCGCGTGAAACTTGGATTCTAGTCGCCACGGTAGAGATGGACTGTTTTGGGAGAGTTCACCGCAGCCAACACGAGTACTTTTAAGCCCTCGGTCGCCAAAGCAAGCTTGTGTCCAAGGCGTTCCCAAACCAACGCATGCTCTCTGCCAGACATCACATGTTATCGCCTCAGCTCTGTGGAGTACATCTCTTATCAACAAAAAGGTTCTGACTTTTTCCATACAAACAAGAAAAATGAAGCAAGCGAATACGGCGTGGAGGAAAATATCCCAGTCAGCCTAAGGCAACACACCGATAAGTGGCCAAAGCATCTCAACATGAAAACAAGACAGCACCATCTACATCCAGCCGCGTCGATTTAGGCCACTGGCATTCACTGCAATCGACCGTGCGACATGCCTGGCATGGAGCGCAAGCTACGGCAGCGGTAAATACGAAGGCTTTTTTCCCTGGCTCCAAAAACACTTGACAAACACCAAACAGAGACACGATGCCAACGGGAACTAGAAAGCTGTCTCAATCTTGTGCTCAGAAACACATGTTGCAAACAACACACGAAGCCACACGGAAACAGCACACCGCTTCTTAATAAAACGTGCAGACACCAGCTTGTGGCAGATAGCTCGCTCTTCCCACGGTGCAACGGGGGCAGTAAGATATTGGTGTGGAGGTCTCAGCAGTAGCAGAGCGGAAGTCCGTTCGCGTGCAGCCACCCCAACAGCACCAAAACCAGCATCAGGACCTGAAAAGAGGGAGGACAAGATGGCAAGGTCGTGGGCCAGAGACGGGGGGCGACCCAAGAAAACATCCAGCTGCGGCTGGCGGGTGATTGTTCTCAACGTGATTAAGAGAAACGAAGAGTCGATCTACATTTGGTACAGTGAGGGCCGGGTGATCGAGCGCTGCATTAGCAAGGAAGAGCTGCGGCCATCGTAGGCTTCATTCAACCCGCAGCAGACACTTCCTGAGAACTGAGACTGAACACATTCTGGAAGAGGCAATACATGATGCCCCCGCTAGTACCTGTCCGCGCCGGAATGCTCTTTTTTGCAATGTTGTACACCGCGGTGCCTCGGCCGCGCGGCCACTCCAGCACAACTTGCAACTGCAGAATGAAGTCCCCATGTACTTGACCCTCACTCCGAATCACCTCCGACCTACGTCTGTCATCGATCATGTCACACCTAAGGTTACGCAAGGCTCTTCGTCGTCCCCAGTGCCCCGGGGCTCCGCGATGGTGTGTTTTCTCCGACCAATTTTTCTTTCTCACAGGTCAAACTGCTAGATGAAAGGGCGGTGCCCCCGCCGACTGCCGCAAAATCTCAATTGTCCACTCTGGCGCTTAGCCCCAGGAGACACAAACCTATACATCTTTTTGGAGGAATCATACCAGCTTGAGCAACCCCATCGATCAAAAATGTTCCGCTTATCAGTTTAGGCCTTGTAGCGCGAGATCGAGGTGCTGGCAGTTTTACGATTTGAGCACAATCTTCCCGCCGAGTTCTTATTGATTCAGCGCAGCAAAGTGTGCTTCCCTTACCGACAGCTACAGCACGCCACAAGCGACCGCACTGCTCGAAACTGCCAGATCCTACCAATATGGTGTGCGAGTTGCGTCGCATGACTTGACAACAGCAACAGACTACAAGAACAATTCTAGAGGTGCCCTTGCGAACTGCTCTGTGTAGTTGCATTCAGCAGCCCGAAATACGGCCAGAATGCCGGATCGTGTGGGTCCTTTGACGCCCCGCCGCCGTTCTCTATGTGTGTATGCCCGATCAACAAACGGATTGAACGCGAATTAGCTGTACCGGGTTTTCTGATTTCAACTTTTCGGGGGCAAAACGTTACGATGCTTTTGCGGTCTTGTTTTCGCTCCCCCGTATAAAGCTCAGTGCTTTTGTGCAAATCCCTTACTAAAAATTCAAGTTGTTGTGTTTGGTTCTGCGAAACGCCATCCCCTCTTTACAACGCATTTTTTTTGTGAGGAGCCTTGCGGCAGCAAAAAAGCCACCGGGACAGATTCAACTTGGCGCCAGCCAATCAGCTGTCTTCATTTAACTTGGCGCCTACTCGGCGTCTTGTCTATCTTCGACTCATATTGGCAATTACTCCGCTTTCTTGTGGGCACTGCATTCCAACAACGAGCTCACAGACCAACACACATCAGCCGGGAGCCTGGGAGTGGCAACTAGCGCATACCACACGCCCACAGCGGGATAGACCCAGCATGGACCTCGGGTCTATGTGTGTACGAAGTTTCGCCACGTCAATCTACACTTGAGTGTCGATAACGAGCACGCAGCAGCACCACCAAGAGGAGAGCTGCTGTACTGCAGCTACATTCAAACAGTCAAACAAAACAGTACCTCCTGAAAACAGCAAGTTGTCAAACGACACTGCGCCGTGTTCCTTGTGAAAGCCACATTCTACAACACACGACATAACGGGAGAGCTTCTCCCCGATAGTTTGTCGTCGACCCAGCAGCGAACTACAGGGGATGTGCTTTTGTAGCGCCAATTGGCTTCACTGTTATAACTCAGTGTATAGGCTTGCACGAGCTCAAAACAAGCCCAGTTTCCAGTCGGTTTCAATCCACTTGCTGAAAAGACTTCCAACACATCCCTTTCGACTGAGGGTATTTCTCGAACGGGTAGTCTTCTGAGAGCTAATGTTTACTTTCTAAAAAGATTGGAAACAGTGAGGAGGGAGATCACCCACACACGCACACGCGCATATTTATGTCGAGCTACAGCAGCAACCACGACCAGGGATGCGCGTATGTTTGTACATCGTCTGCACGTCGGCACACCCGTCCTCTCGCCAGACAACTTCAAGTAACGTGATGATGATGCTGTGGCATCTCTGCATCCAATCTATCTGTTGATTATTCCTTCTTCTTCACTCTCTTGACTCCATCTGGGATTCTTTGGAACGAACGCCCCATCATCATCTCGTTTGTATGTTGACGACCCGCAATAGCAGCATACATATCTGCATGGTGATTTCTTGCTTTGCTGCCGCGGTGACGACACCTCTGTTCTGATATCTCCTTTCGTTCAGTTATTCGGGATGCCCAAAATTTTGAAAGCGTGCGGCCCGCAGATAATTGGGTTTCACACATGCACAACTAGCGGGCTTCGCCTGCGAAAATAAAGTCTAAAACCTTTCTCCGGTACATTTGTGTGAGGGGGCAGGGCGGATGGCGCACTCTGTGGCCACCAAGTCATGTGCTCAGGATTTTCGTCACCTCCGTTGAGCTCCCTTGCGTTACCACATTCCGCAGAACCACAAGTAATGAAGTGTTCGTACGGGCATTGCTATCACACTCCCGCAATACCAACCAAGTGTGCGGCAGCAGCGGTTCAACTCTACAAGGAAGTGTTATAACAGCTTTTTATCACACCCCCTCACTGCCCCCCACCCTTCGCAATCTAGACTTCAGTGGGTTGGCGCTGTTGGCAAAGCGCTGTAAAACACGCCACCCCAAATATAGCCCCCATAGTATGCGCTACCAAAGACGCGTGACGCATGGATGCGTGGAGTGAGGATTGCTTACG